GAGTGAAACTCTTGTCTTGAAGAAAAAAAAAAAAAAAAAGATTTATATCAAAAAGATCACACATAGCCAGGCACAGTGGCTCATGGCTGTAATCTTAGCACTCTGGGAGGTTAAGATGGGCGGATCACTTGAGCCCAGAGTTCAAGACCAGCCTGGGCAACATGGTGAAACCCCGTCTCTACAAAAAACACAAACATTAGCCTGGTGTGGTGGCAGGTGCCTGTAGTTCTAGCTACTAGCGAGGCTGGGGTGGGAGGATCACCTAAATCCGGGAGATTGAGGCTGTGGTGAGTCGTGATTCTGCCACTGCACCGCAGCCTGGGCAACACAGACCCTGTCACAACAACAACAACAGAAGGATCATACTCATCTGATGCACTATTAAGTATTCTTGCCTGCCAAGACCAGGGGTCTGCAAACTTTTTCCATCAAGGACCAGAAAGCGGGGTGTGGTGGTTTGTGCCTATAATCCCAGCACTTTGGGAGGTCGAGGAGGGAGGACTGCTTGAGACCAGGAGTTTGAGACCAGCCTGGACAACACAGTAAGACTCTGTTTCCACAAAAAAATTTAAAAATTAGCCAGGCATGGTGGTGCGCACCTGTAGTCCCAGCTACTCGGGATCCTGAGGCATAAGGATGGGTTAAGCCCAGGAGTTTGAGGCTGCAGTGAGCTATGATTGCACCAATGCACTCCAGCCTGGGCAACAGAGCAAGAACTTGTCTCAATTTAAAGAAAAGTTTTAAATTTAAAAAATTTTAACTGCCGGGCGCGGTGGCTCAAGCCTGTAATCCCAGCACTTTGGGAGGCCGAGACGGGCGGATCACGAGGTCAGGAGATGACCATCCTGGCTAACCCGGTGAAACCCCGTCTCTACTAAAAAATACAAAAAGCTAGCCAGGCGAGGTGGCGGGCGCCTGTAGTCCCAGCTACTCGGGAGGCTGAGGCAGGAGAATGGCGTAAACCTGGGAGGCGGAGCTTGCAGTGAGCTGAGATCCGGCCACTGCACTCCAGCCCAGGCGACAGAGCAAGACTTCGTCTCAAAAAAAAAAAAGAAAAAAAAATTTTTTTTAATTAAAAATTTAAAAGGGCCAATTATTTAAATTTTTTAGGCTTTGCAAGCCAGTCTTTGTCACAACTACTTAACTCAGCCATAGTAAGCCAAAAGCAGTCAGACTATTCATGAACAAACGGACATGGTCATGTTCCAATAAAACTTTATTTACAAAAATGGAAGGCAGGGCCCTAGTTTGTCAACCCTGTTTTAGGCCTAATTCTAGTTTACAAGAAATACAGACATGGGGAACAAAAGTAAACAACACCAAAAGGCAATAATATGACACACCCAGAAGGTGTGACATTCTACAAGACAACTAGCCTGGCTTGTTAAAAAAATAATAAATAAATAAAAAATCAATGTTTGGGGGAGGAAAAAAAAAGACAAAAGGCTGGACTAGATTAAATAAAACAAGTCAAAGAGACATGTACCTTGAATGAATCCTGGTTTGAAAAACAATGTTCTAAAGGTTGCATATCCTTCAAAAGGTAACTAAAGAAATTCAAGTATGGCATGGATAAGGAGAAGTTACTAGTAAACAAAAATTATTATCATCTCAGGCGTGACAGCATCATGATTCTGTAGGAGAAAGTCCTTATTCTTAGGAGATGCCTACTGAAACACTAAGAAGTGTCACTAAGTAAGAACACAAGTTCAAGTTCAGCATAAAACACACCCAGATGAGGCAGACACGGTGGATGCAGGCCTGCAGAGTCTAGGAGTGGGGCACCTGGACGTCCATTCATTATACTATTCTTTCAACTTTTCTCCAAGTGAAACACGTCTGCAGTGAAGTGGGGGACAGGGAGGAGGGTCTCTCAAGCTGGAGAGGCAACCAGGAGCCCAGTGAGGAGGTGCTGCAGCACCTCGCCAACGAGCAGTCACCAACCGGCACCCACCTACCCTGCGACCCCTGCCTCCCTCCCCAGGCTTAAGAGAGGCCAGCTGACATCAGCCTATGTGGGCCAGAGCTGTGAGGACAGCATCAGTCAGCCAGGAGCAGAGTGGAGGGGGCCTCCCTCTTGCTGGGTTTCTGGCTCACCCCCTCCACCCATCCATAGTTAAGGTCAGAAATCTGGGACCTGGTCTCTCAGTAGTTTCAGCAGTTTTCTCTTTGCCAACAGCAGCAGGTACCAAGAAGAAAAGGCAGGTGGGGCTCTCCAGCCTACAGAATCTGGGTAAAGGAAAGGGCATGTTGTCTTGTGAAAATGGAAACAAGACCATCTCTCCTGCCTACTAAAACACTTTGCTGGCTCCCTGCTCCCATTCCAGGCTGGCAAACTATGCCAGGTACTGCTGTATCAGCCGCTCCTGTTTATCATCCCCCTGCATCGTGTAACAACCCTGGGACAAATCCCAATTTATTAAGCACCTGCCAAGCCCTGTGGGGATCTCTAACTGGAGTCCAAGGCCTTGGCTGAGCTCTCCAGCTTCGAGCGCCTCCAATTCCCCTCTTCCAACACTCCTGGCCCCTTGGTTCTCTAGTGACACAGAACCCCCTGTGGTGGCTGGGATGTATGAGCTATTTCACCTCCAGGCCTTTGCATATGCTGTCCCTTCTGAACTTTCTTCCTTGCTATCTCTGTGGCCAACTCCTATCCAGTCTTCAAAACCCAGCCCCCAACACCCAGGACCTATACACCTACTGGTTTTGATCTGTTTTTATTGGCCATTCATGTTTTGGTCCATAGTTTTCAACTGAGTAGCACCTCAGCTGGCTTGAAATGGTAATTTTGTTCCTCTCAGTGGGGCAAGTATATTTTTTACCTTGGGAGGATATGCAACGATAATTATAGTATAGATTATAGTAACAAGTCTCATGATACTGTAGGCTCCTGAGCTGTACTGTCCAAGAAGGTAGCCACTAGCCATATGTGGCTATTTAAATCAATTAAAATAAACTAAAGAAATCTATTCCTTGGTGGCTGTATTTCAAATGCTCAATCGGCACAAGCAGTCAGCACAGGCAATTGGCACAGGCAATCGGCAAAGGTGCCTACTGGACAGTGCAGACACAGGGCATTTCCACAATGGCCGGAAGTGTTCTTGGACGGCGCTATTTTAGGGCTCTCCAGAAGGTCTGCTGAAACCTTACTCCATAGATAAGCTAGAAGACTGTTTCTCAAAGTGAGGTCCAAATGGACAAAGTGGGAAAAAGAAACATTTCCCACTGATTACAAAGGACTAAGCTCCTTAATATATAAAGAGCTAATACATAAATAAGAAAAAGACCAACTATCCAACAGAAAAATAGACAATATAGACAGTTCAAAATAGGAAACTCACATGGCCCTTGAGGGTCAAACTCATCCACAGAGAAAGAAAGGAAAGCTAAACACCCCAAGGTGCTGAATTTTTCCACTGTTCAGACTGGTACAAATCCAAATGTGTGAAAACACAAGGCCACGGGGGCACTCTCAGACATCGCCTAATGGAAACATCGTAAAACTACAAACTCATTTTCCCAGTGACTCGGCAACCCTGCATCTAAGCACTCGTCACACAGGTCTACCTGTGCACACATCAAACAAGACAGACATGGCTATTTCACTGCAGCATTGCTTATAATGAGCCAAAAGCCAGAAGCAACCCCCATCATCACAATAAAGGACAGCTAAATAAACACACTTGGGACACGCATATCCAATTGTCAAAAAAAAAGTGAAAGCAAAAAATGAAACAAAGCAGCCGCATCTCTCCATATATCAAGGCAAATTCTCCAAGGTACACTAAGGGAAAAGCAAGTCCAGAAGCATGTACAATGCGACCTTTTGTATTTTAAAAAAAAAAAAAAAAAGGGCAGCAGGGCACAAAGGTCTCCCTCTGCTCTTCGAGGGCACCTAAGAACAGTGATTAACTGGGGGGCGGGGAGGTGGACGGAAAGGGCAGGGTGGGGGAAGCTCCACCTTACATTGTTTCAGTTTTGAAATAGATGAGTCTTTATCATCTCTTCTGATTACTAAATTGATCTTTTTAAAATGACTCTCTGGACCACCTGCCTCAAAATCAATAGAGATGCTCATTAAGAACGTAGTTCCTGCCAGGCAGGATAGCTCACGCCTGTAATCTCAGCACTTTGGAGGCCGAGGCAGGCAGATAATTTGAGGCCAGAAGTTTGAGACCAGTCTGGCTAACATGGCAAAATCCCGTCTCTACTAAAAATACAAAAATTAGCCAGGTGTGGTGGTATGTGCCTGTAATCCCAGATACTCGGGAGGCTGAGGCAGGAGAATCACTTGAACCTGGGAGGCGGAGGCTGCAGTGAGCTGAGATGGTACCACTGCACTCCAGCCTAGGCAACAGAGCAAGACTCCGTCTCGAAAAATAAAAATAAAAAAAGAAGGTGGGGTATGGTGGCTCGCACCCATAATCCCAGCACTTTGGGAGGCCAAGGCAAGTGGATCACCTGAGGTCAGGAGTTTGAGACCAGCCTGGCTAACGTGGAGAAGCCCTTTTTCTACTAAAAATACAAAAACTAAGCTGGGCATAGTGGTGCACGCCTGTAATCCCAGCTACTCGGGAGGCTGAGGCAGGAGAATCGCTTGAACCTGGGAGGTGGAGGTTGCAGTGAGCCGAGATCATGCCACTGCATTCCAGCCTGGACAACGAGGGTGAAACTCCATCTCAAAAAAAAAAAGAATGTAGTTCCCTGACCCTGGGCAGATCTCCAAGTAGTCACAGGTCTTGAAGCGAGGCCCAGCAGTCTGGACTTTTCATGAGCTCTGCCTGTGATTCCAATGCACCCGCAAGTCTGAGGGCAGAGTAGGGTCTTCAGACTAAGAACCCCACCTCTTCACAGCCCCAGCTGGGGAGACCCCCCCACCACCAGAATTGCAGACTGGAAACCCCTATGCAGGGTCCCAGGGAAAATCTCCATCTGTACCTTTCCTCCTCACACCAGGCTTGGTCCCTCTCAAGGGCAGCCACACAGAGGCCCAGACTCACCTCTCGTCTGGAGAATCCACGTGGAAGGTCCTCTCGATGACTGTGGTCCACTGCAGGCAGCGTATGACGAAGGTGTTGGGCCGCGGCCTCTCGGTCTTCATCAGCTGGCATTCTGCAGGCAGAGGGAGTAGACAGCAGGGAGCCTGAGGGGACAGCCCTGCCAGCCTGCAGCCCAAAGTGCCCGAGCCACCTCCCACAGGCCCAGCCCCATGCCAGATGGTGCTGGGGACACTCTAGGGACTGAGACAGTCCTGGCCCTGCTCTCACGGGGCTCAGGGTCTAGTGCGTGTGTGGAAAGAGAGGAGCCCACCAGAGAGTGATGGCTCCATAGACAGGGCCGCGATGGGGACAAGCCCGGAGGTGTGCAGAAGCTAAGAGGCAGCATCCAATCCAGCCTGGGGGATGGGGGGACTTCCCAGAGGAAGCAGCTTCTCTGAACTAAGCCCTGAAGGAAAAGGGAACTTAGAGGGTACATGGAGAACAGACGCCCAGAGGTGAGAGGAGGTTCAACATCCTCAGCCGGTGGCCAATTTTGCTCCAAGGGTAAGGAGGGGTAAGTGAGAGACAGGCCTGGAGAGGTGGGCTGGGGCCAGCCAGGCAGGGCCTTGGAGGCCATGGGAAAGAATCTGGACTTTGTCCTCTGGGCAGCAGGGAGCCACAGAAGGCTTTAGATAGGGTAGGGACACAAACAGATTGAGACTGATCCCTCTGGTTGCCATGTAGAGGGTGAGACTAAAGGTCAGAAGGCCAGGGAGGTGGGGAGCCAGCTAGGGAGGGTGGGGCCAACCAAAGTGGAGCCCTGCAGACAGGCTATGGGGAGAGGGCACTGAGGACCAGGCCCAGGCCTCTTGGCCTACTGTCCATGAGACAGAGACAGGAATAGAAAGCTGGGAGAGGCCTGACAGTCAGGTTGGGATGTGGCAGGTATGAGGGACCTAGAAGACACTCGGGGAGACGTGTCCAAGGAGCAGCCTGGGACAGGCTGTGAGTTCTAGCGAGACACTGAGGCTGGGAACAGATGTGTCAGGGTCACCAGCACACGTGGAGAGCAACCAGGAAAAGGCTTCACGCAGAGCAGCATGGGACGGATGCTGGGTTCCAGAGCATGGCAGGAGAGGACGGTGGTCTGAGCTAAGGCCCTGGCGGTGGAGATGGGGGTGCCTCTGTAATGTTCTTAGCAGGCAGAACAACAGGACATGGTGACCCATCAGGTCAGCAAGGAAGGAAGGAGGAGGAAAGGGGCAGGGGTGTCGATAGGACTGTATTCTCCAAGGCTCAGTCAAGGGCTTGGGGCTTGTGAAACTTCACTGCCAGGGTCTGGTTGGAAGGCATCCCTTTGGGTATCACGGAGGGACAGATGTTGCGAGGCCAGCCCTGTGACCGGCTGAGTGGGAAGCTGAGACCCCTCTACGTCCGAGGGACAGAAGATGGAGGCTGTTACCAAAGCGCAGGATGGGAGGCACCTGCCACCAGCTGGGGACCCCAAGGCCTGGCCGACAGAAGCTGGCACCATAAGGAGGCGACACATGGGGCTGGGTGTGGGCAAGTGCCCTGGCTTCTCCCTCCCTCCCACTCTGCATCTCCCCACAGGACAGCCCCACCTGGCCAGCTAACAAGGAGGGAGAGCACGGGAAGGGCGAAAATGGATCCAAGGGCAGGCAGGCCCAGGAGAGGCCCAAGGCTCAATGACCAAGTCCCACGAGCCCCTAAGACCTGCCAGCCATTCTGTGAGCACCAGAACACTGACCCACTCACTCATCCCAAGACACACCTGCTACAGAGAAGTTGTTTAAGGGGGGAAGGGTCTGATCAGGGGCCTCGGGCCTCTCCTTGTACCCAATGAAGGAGCCGTCGCTCTTCAGCAGGAAGTACCGTGGCCTCCAGGTCTTGATGTATTCACCTGAAATGAGGCAGAAGGGGAGGGAGAGAGGTTAGGACAAGGTTGAGCGATGTCCCAGGTGGGTGGCAGGAGGCCCGGTGTGATGGTGACTCACAAGGGGTACCACGGGGCGGGGGGGTGCGGGGGACACATGAGAATGCCTCTCCCGGAGGAGCCCTCCAGGTGGCCCCTGCTGACGCAGGCTGGGGCGCTGGGCTGAGCCCGGGTGATCCACAGGTCATGCCTGGCAGGAAGGTGCCAAAGGCAGTGCCCTGGGGCACCAGTTGCCTCCTGGCAGTTGCAGGAGCAAGCTGTCTATGCCAGCTCCTGGCCTAGTCCCAGGGGAGGCCCAGGCTTCCAAACACACTTGCCCCGTGGCCCTGTAAGGCCAAATCCCACAGACTGGGACTCACCAATAAAGCTGTGCAGGTAGATCAAATGCCAAAACACCTCTGTGCCAGGGGGGTGGCACTGCTGCCACACCCTCCCAGCACCCCTTGACTCCTTCCAACTGTTCTTCACCACGAATATCCAAGCACCCTACACACACACACACACACACACACACACACGAACCCACTCCTTAGCTAAGGATTAAAAGGAGATGGTGAAACACAAAACCTTACACACAAATGTCCACAACAGCGTTATTCATAAAAGCCATCAAGTGGCAACAACCCTAATATCCACAACAACGAATGGATAAACAAAATGTGGCAGATCCATACAATGGAAAACCATTCTGTCATAAAAAGAAATGAAGTACTGAGACGTGCTGCCACGTGGAAGAACCATAACTCATGCTAAGTGAAAAAAGCCAGTCACAAAGGGACCACATATCATTATGATTCCATTTATACAAAATGTCAAGAATAGGCAAACCTATAGAGATGAAAAGTAGGGCCTGGCGTGGTGGCTCACGCCTGTAATCCCAGTACTTTGGGAGGCCAAGGCAGGTGGATCACCTGAGGTCGGGAGTTCAAGAACAGCCTGACAAACATGGAGAAACCCCGTCTCTACTAAAAATACAAAATTAGCTAGGCATGGTGGTGCACGCCTGTAATCCCAGCTACTTGTGAGTCTGAGGCAGAGACTCCTTGAACCCGGGAGGCGGAGGTTGCAGTGAGCCGAGATCGCACCATTGCACTCCAGCCTGGGCAACAAGAGTGAAACTCCGTCTCAAAAAAAACAAAAACAAAAACAAAAGCAAACTGACTATGGTGACGGATGCACAACTCTGAATACACTAAAAGCCACTGAACTGTATATACTTTAAATAGATGAATAATGTAGTGCATCAATTTTACCTCAACATTGCTATTAAAGGCCAGCACAGTGGCTCCCACCTGTAAAATCCTAGTACTTTAGGAGGCTGAGGCAGGCTTAAGTCTGGAGTTTGAGACCAGCCTGGGCAACACAGTGAGATCCAGTCTCCACAAAAATTTTTTTTTAATTAGCCAGGAGTGGTGGCGTGTGCCTGAAGTCCCAGCTACTCAGGAGGCTGAAATGGGAGAATCACCTGAGCCTAAGAAACTCAAGCCATGATGGTGCCACTGCAGTCCAACCTGGTGACAGAGCAAGACCCTAGCTCTTAAAAAATAATAATAATAATTTACAAAAGCCTCCAAAAAAATACTTAACCAAGGTGGTGAAGGGCTTGTATACTAAAAAGCACTGTTTAAAGAAATTAGACCGAGACGGGTGGATCACGAGGTCAGGAGATCGAGACCATCCTGGCTAACACGGTGAAACCCCGTCTCTACTAAAAAACACAAAAAACTAGCCGGGCGAGGTGGCGGGTGCCTACAGTCCCAGCTACTCGGGAGGCTGAGGCAGGAGAATGGTGTGAACCCGGGAGGCGGAGCTTGCTGTGAGCTGAGATCTGGCCACTGCACTCCAGCCTGGGGCACAGAGCAAGACTTCGTCTAAAAAAAAAAAAAAAAAAAAGAAAAAGAAATTAGAGATCTACATAAATGTAAAGATATCCTATGTTCATGGATGAGAAGACAATATTGTTAAGATGGCAATACTACCCAAAGAAATATACAGATTCAATGCCAACCCTATCAAAATTCCAACAGGCTTTTTCTTTTTTCAGAAATAGAAAAGTCAATCCTCACATTCACATGGAATTTCAAAAGGCCTCCAAGAGCCAAAATAATACTGAAAAAGAAGAATAAATACTTTCCAATTTCAAATTTACTATACAAAGCTACAGTAATCAAAACAGTGCAGTATAAGGACAGCCATACAGACCAATGGAAGAGAATTCAGAGCCAAAAAATAAAGCCAAATATCTATACTCAATTGATTTTCAACACAGGTGCCAAGATCATTCAATGGAAAAGAATAGTTTCTTCAACAAAGAGACTATATTTTTTCAAAACGAAAGAAAAGAAACCTAGAAGAAAAAATATCCTTACAATATTTTTTGTTAATTTAAATACTGTTCCTTGCGGAGCAGGGAACAGTGACCCATAGGCAATGTGCCCAGAGTAGCCTATCCTCACAATCTTATCCCTATTCTGCAGATGAAGAAACTGAAGCAACTGGATATCCACATTCAGAAGAATGGAGTTGGACCCCTACTACAAACCATACACAAAAATAAACTCAAAACGAATTGACCTGAATCTAAGAGCTAAAACTACAAAAAACGTCTAAGAATACATATGAGTAAATCTCATTACTTTAAAATTTGGCAATGAATTCTTAGACGACACCAAATGCACAAGCAACAAAAGAAAAACTTAAAGTGAACTCATCAAAATTAAAAACCTTTGTGCATGAAAGGACACTGTCAGGAAAGTAAAAAGATATCCTACAGAAGGGGTGGAAATACCTGGAAAATCTAATAAGGGTCTATTAGCCAGAATACATAAAGAACTCTTACAATGCCAACAACAAAAAGATAAACAGCCTGATTTTAAAACGAGCAAAGGACTCAAATAGACATTCCTCCAAAGATACACAAATGGTCAACAGAGAGATGAAAAGATGTTCAGCATCATTAGTCATCCGGCAAACATAAATCAAAATCACAATGAAGGCCAGGCGCGGTGGCTTACACCTGTAATCCCAGCACTTAGGGAGGTCGAGGCAGGCAGATCACTTGAGGCCAACAGTTCACGACCAGCCTGGTCAACACGGTCAAATCCCATCTCTACTGAAAATACAAAAGTTAGCCGGGCATGATGGTGCACACCTATAGTCCCAGTGCTTGGGAGGCTGCGGCCTGAGAATTGTTTGAACCCAGGAGGCGGAGGTTACAGGGAGCTGAGATCGCGCCACTGCACTCCAGCCTGGAAGACAGAGCAAGACTCTGTCTCGAAAAAAGAAAACACACACACACACACACACACACACACACACACACACAAAATGAGGTACAACTTTACATGCCCAAGGATGGCTGTAATGAAAAAAAACAAGTGTTGGCAAGGATCCCTCATGGACTGCTGGTGGGAATATAAAATGGTGCAGCTCCTTCTTCAAAAAGTGAATAGAATATATCACCCCAAGGCCGGGCACCCCAGGGCCCACCTCACCTTGCCCACCTCTGCCAGCTGCTACTCAGAAAGACGGGCACTGAAAAGGCCAAAGAGTGCAGGTGTGCACATGCGTGTGTGTAGGGTACAAACCTGAGACAGGTGTGTCAGAGTTAGGCCATCCCAGATGACAGAGCAGGCCTGTGGCTGGGTCATCTGGCCCCTTGTAACATGAATGGGGACACTCAAGACCCAAAGAGGCCAAGACTCATGTAATGCCATCAGTAACCCCTGCCCCTCCGACAGTTCCGCACCCATCCCAAGGCTCTCACAGTCCAGCCTAGTGAGCCACAGCCTCTGCACGTGCAGGCCACGGGACAGGAGCCCATGACCCTGTGTACTAGCATACCACCCACTCACCATGCCAAACATTCATTCAACCATTTACTGAGTGCCTACTATATGCCCACCATTTTTAGATGTGCTGGGGATACCACTGTGAAGAAGCCCCATGAAAATGCCTACCCTCATAGAGCTGATGACATCAGAGGTCTGGCTCGTTAACCCACTTTACGGATGTGAAACCAAGGCTCAGTGAGGTGACATGGCTTGCCCACAGTTACACCAAGAGGAAGCAGCGAACCAAGGTTAGAACCTTGATAGCTGCCGAGGCTCAGGAAGCTCCATCGACAACCTCAAACTCCAGGCTCAGGCTGGGGGACTAGGCCAACGGACCTTGAAAGCCATCTCTGTCCAGAAAGAGCAGCAGGAGACCAATCTCCTCTGCTCAGTCAGGTGCGGAGACTGCTCCCAGGGAGGGGCCTCCATCCCTCATCGCTGCTCCCTGTCTGCAGGCTGGTACAGTGCAGGATGCACGGCTCTTCCCGATGCCCGTGGCGCCAGCGCCGTCAGCCTCCTGCTCCTCTCTGAACAAGATCACTTACCCAGGACTCACTGGCTGTCACCTCTGGCATAACTGTGAGGCTCACTCCCCGACTTCCTTCAGGCCTTTATTCAGATGCCCCCTTCTCAGCGAAGCCCCCTCTGGCCACCCTGTCTGCCTCAGGCCCTCCCATCCTCACGTCGCTTGTTTTTCCTCCATGGCTCGCGCCACCGTGTGACACGCTTGTCTGCCTGTGAGCTGTCTGCCTCCCCATCAGCACCCAAGATACCAACACGAGGATGGGCTGTTTGCCTGTTTGGCTCACTGCTGGACCCCGGAACCTAGAACGGTGCCTGGCCCACAGGCGCTGCTCAGCTCGTGTTTGCTGAATGAATGCAAGTGCTCACAGGGCAGCCACCCCCACACCTGGGGCCCTTCCTCCCAGGGGGAGGCCCATGGAAGCTGGCCCGGGACAAAGTCGTCTCTCAGCACGTGGCACTTCTCCCCATCTGCCTCCCAGTCTTGCTTGGCAGCCACTTGGGGACAAACAGCCCTGGGGTCAAAAAGGGTCTCTTTCCTGTCCTAACTTCACTAAAAGGGGACCTCAGCTTCCCACTAGTACAAATGGATTAGATCATGCATCGGCTCACGACATCACAGGGGTGCTCTTGTCTGGAGTGCCAAAGCCAAGGTCCTTTTCCACGGCCTGCAGGCGCGACATGGCTGGACCCTGCGTTGCTCCCCTGCTTGCCTCCCCCAGCTCGCCCTCGCTCACACTGCTCCAGCCACGCTGTTACCAGAAAACAGCAGGCACATCCCCACCTGGGAGCCTCCGTCCTTGCTGTCCCTCTCCCTGGGACACCCTTGCCCAGCCAGTGCCTCACCTCCTCCAGGCTCCAGGCCTCTGATCACTGCCCTTTCCTCAGGGCAGCCTCTCCATGCCCCCCCGCCCCCAGCCCACTGCCCTCACTCACAGTTCCCACTTTTCACCCCAGCACTCGCCACCTCAACATTCCATGTCTACTTATTTACTGTCTGCCTCACCCCCACTGGAACATAAGCTCCATCAGAGGACCACTGTGTCCTGGAGCCCAGGGCTACCTGGCACAGCACACAGTCAATGAATACTCGCTAACTGAATGAATGCTGAATACTGCCTCACTGTGTTACTTCAGTGATGTGACTTCCCCTCTCTGGCCCTCAGTTTCTTCATCTATAAAATGGGGCTATGAATGAGCTCACTCATGCACAGGTAGATCCCCACTCTCCTGCCCAGGTGACCGCTGAAGGAGTCCATGAAACAGGGGCATAAGCAGCTGTGGGTCTGGGGCTGCGGAATGCTGGCTCCTCAGGCTGGTAAGACCCTCTGCCTCTGCCTCTCGGGGCACAGCTTCCACGAGGAGCCAGCGTGGGAGAAGGAAGCAATCTGGCAGGCAAAAGCGGCCTCTTACCGCGCTTGTGGAGCCAGCCTTCTTTGATGACAGACACCTCGTTCATGGTGGCAGCGTGGCACGCTGTCACCTAGCTCGGGACAGCTCAGGGCAGCAGGACATGCAGGAGGCGCCGTGGACAGGGCACAGTCTGCAAGACAAGAGAGGAGCTGGTCAGGGTGGGAGGGGATTCCACACCAGCCCCTTCCCTGAGGACACCAAGCTCTGAGGCCCTCTGGCTGCTCTGCCCACTCGGCAAAGGGTAAGGCCAGCAAGGGTGGCGTGGAGCCCTGCTCTCAGGGATCCATTCTGAGGAGAGAGATGTGGCCATGTCCCCAGAGACCCCAATCTGGGGAAGCAGAGCTCCCTGGCCTAAGCGCAGGCCAGACCCCGAACTCAGGACACTCATGCTGGGGGGAGGTGGCCCCTCCACCCACAGTCACTCCTGACTGAGCGAGCATCGAGGTAGCCGTGCCCTGTCCCCCGTGTCACTCCTATGGCCCAACACTGAGGTAACCCAGTATGAATCAGACAGCCCAGGGCACCTGAGGGAGTGCGCAAAGCCACCAGCATCTGCCTGTCCCCTCACCATCTTACACACACACACACACACACGTGTGCACACACACGTGCACACACGCGCACACAGAACCACCAGCATCTGCCTGTCCCATCTTACATACACACACACACACACACACACACACACACACGCACTCTTTTCTCTCTCTCCTCCCCCTCCCTTCTTTCCAAACCAGGAAGCCAACAACCTGCCACCTTCAACAAACTAAGTACACTCCCGTCCCCCTATGCCATCCCACGCCACTCCCCAAGCCTCAGCGGCCTCCCTCTCCCGGTCAGATGATAGAGTAAAGACAGGTCTCAGACGGCCCAAGATCTTGAACAAGAAAGCAACCTACTGCGTATGCACGGTCTGGGGCCTAGAAGCCAGTCCCGGGGGCTTGACCAAGGCCCTGGTCCCTACCCCAAGACCTCCACTTCTGTCCTCAGGGACCAGCAACCGACAGACTGAGGGACGCCGAGGCCACTGCTTCGTCTCAGGTTACCGGAGCAGAGGGGAGGAGGGCGCAAGGCAGCGCCAGCTGGGCCCCTACCTGGAGCCTGGGGCCTGGCCAGGGTCCACAGAGACCAAGGCGCCTTTGCCTTTCCCAGCCTGGGGTTATTTGCGGACAGCAGGTCGGGAGCTACGGTGGCCCCCAGAGAAGTGGCAGCTGGCTCTAGGGACACCGTGGGCATCAGCTTTCTCTCGTGCCCCAGGGGAGCTGGTGGGCCGGACACACTACTGCCTGGCATGTGACAGTGGCAGGCTGCCCAGGCCCCAGGCAGAAGGAAGGGAGGTAAGTGGGAGGAAGCGGGAGGAAAGACAAGATGGACAATGACAGGGAAGTAAACAGGAGAGTGAGAAATCACATTCTGGGCTCCAAGCTGCAAAGGCAATGATGTGAGGCTGGGAGCAGCAATAAGGGGCTTCCCTCGCCAGCAACATGCCCGGCACCCCACAACCCCAACACACAGGACTGCCAGACTCTCCATCCTCAACATCCCCACATCTCAGCTGGGCACAGTGGCTCACGCCTATAATCCCAACACTTTGGGAGGAAGGCAGGAGAATCCCTTGAGCCCAGGAGTTTGAGATCTGCCTGGGCAACATAGTGAGAACCTGTCTCACCATGTAATTTTTTCTACAAAAAAATCAAAAATTAAAAAATTAGCCAGGCATGGCGGTGTGCACCTGAAATGTCAGCTACTCGAGATGCTGAGGCAGGAGGATCACTTGAGCCTGGGAGGTCAAAGCTGCAGTGAGCCTTGATCGAACCACTGCACTCCAGCCTGGGTGACAGAATGAGACCCTGTTTCAAAAAACATAAATATGTATGTATTTCTATACCTCTCACTGTTCTGTGCGTCAACCTCTAACATGACCACCTCTCCCCATCCTGCCGGCAGCCTGGCTCTAGTCGGGTCTGCCCCCACCTCTTCCCCGAGTTCCTACGCTCCACTCTTGCTCCCTTCCCACTCACCCCACATTCAGCAGCTAGAGGGATCCTCAACGCTGAACCTGTCTTTCTCCTGCTCAAAACCCTTTGTGGCTCCCTGGTGTTACGAGGAAAACAGCCAAACTCCTCAGCTGAGGATCCAAGACCCTTCAGGACCTGGCCTCTGCTGCCCTGCGTTCCAGGTGCATGAGCTGAGACGTGCACCTAGAAAGCCCTCGGGAAAGGCTAAGGACCATGACATTGACCTCTCCAACCTCTCCGCCCCACCCCACTCTCCGTGTTACGCTTCTGTCACTCAAGCACTTCCCTCTGGCCTCCATCAGGGACAGGGCCTCCTTCTGGGCATTCTTCTCCCTCTTCCTTGAGGTCTCAGCTAAACCAGTGCCTCCTCCAGGAAGGCTTCCCCACCTCAGAGGCTGCACTGTGTGCGCTTTGTGCACCCTCGAAGCAACCCTCCCAACACCCATAAACGCTAAGGCAGTGGACCAGCAAAGCATCTGATATCTAATGAGCAAAGGAAGAAAGAGGCCAAATGCCCACAACGGATCCCCACCCCGGGAACAGACACAGCCAGGGACACACTACCAGACTCTCTTCACCACACCAATCTTTTCTGGGGGGCATCCTAGGCTCCAGATGGTACCAGCAATAGAATGTCACTGAGACACAGCCCTGCCTTCCTGAGGCTCACAGTATGGTGGGAGGGGCAGAAAAATACACAGAGACACAAATCATCAGGTGATGGGGAGGCTGGAGAGTGGGAAGAAGAGGATGTTAGCTTGGTGTGGGGGACTTGAGAGCAGACGCCCGAGTTAACTGAGGGAGTGAGCTGTGTAGACACATGAGGAAATGCATTTCAGCAGGGGAACACAAAATTCAAGGACCTGAGGCAGGAGGGGGCCTGGTGAGCGGAAAGTCAGGGAGAGGCGGACAGGGGAGAACACCAAGGGCCTTCTGGGCTATGGCTGGGACTGAGAGAAGCCCATCCCCTACACGGACCTACACCACGCCTTCCCTGATGCAAGCTCAGTTCAAAATACTTCCCACATCGCTGGGAGGGAGAACTCAGAGTCCAAAGGAAGGGCTGATGTGGAGGGAATAGAACCGGGGCTCCAAGTCCCATCTCCCCGCTCGCTGGCCCACAGCAGCCCAGGGACATTGACTCTTAGGGCCCCCGTGATGCAGCAGCACTGCGGCTACTGGCAGCACTAAAGCACCCACTGTGGGCCCAGGACTCGGCCTACTGCGTGGTGCCCAGTGAACAGCCAAACGCACGGCTGCCGTTACTCCAGACAGAAGCAAAGGCAGACAGGTGTGAACAAGAGTGGTCAGGGTTCCAGAGTCCGAGAGCCACCGCCAGCTGGGTGGCCTTGGGCAGGGTGCCGGTGCTCCCATGGAGTCACTCCTGAATGTTCCCAACACCCCATCAGACAGTCGGTGACCATGCCCAGGTGAGGACAGAAGCTCAGAGAAGGGAAGCTGTTTACCTTGGGTCTCCCAGCCGAGAAGCAGTGGAGGCCCTGGCCGCTGCTGGGATCAACAGAGTTGCTTTTTACAATCTCATCTCAGCAACTAAGGAATCAGCACAGCTGGAGGGAGAGCAGGCGGAGGAGTTGAAGATCCCCTGCGTCCCGCCTGGATCGTTCCCTGTCCTCCTACTGAGGGTGGCGCCTCATCTGAGGTGTTCGTGACGCAGTCCTGTGGTGATGAAATACCAGCCACTGCAGCCAAGAAGATGGCCTGCTCACTGGGGGGCTGCCGACGGAGGACACCAGGCGGGGGGACAGAGACTTGCCTGTGGAACCCCCGCAGCACGCCCTGCCGAGGGGAGTCCCTGCACGGCCCCACCCCACTCACTACTTCCTAAGGTGCCTGGGCATCAGTCTTCTGAGGGCCTGGGCCAGAGCTGCAGCTGCTGACTAAAGGCAAGCCACCTGGGAGGCAAGGTAAAAAGAGCAAGAGCACCTCACAGGAGAGGACACCCACACAACCAAGAAACACACGTAATCTCATTAATTACAGGGAAATGCAAATTACAACCACCTACTTGGGATGGCTCGAATTTTAAAAACTGACAAGGCCAGGTGCTGGCAAGGATGCAGAGGAACCAGAACCCTTACTCACTATTGGTGGGAGTTGCAAAATGGTTCAACCACTGTGGAAAACTGTTAAACAGTCAAAATTAAAGCTCAATATATGCCTACCCCATGACCTAGCAATTCCTCTCAAAGAAATTAGTGTACGTACAAAAGACTTGTACTAGAATGCTGACAGTGGCAATACTCACAGTAACCCCAAACTGGTTAACAGACTGGGAGTCTACCCACCAGAGAATGGATAAACAAACACGTAGATCCACAGTAGAACACTACTCAGCAACGAAAAGGACTGAACTGTTGCTAAATACAGCAGAGAAGGGGTGAGAGAACATTACAGAATGAAAGAAGTCAGACAGCACTCTGCCCACGCGCCTCCTGCAGTCTGGAGCCCTGTGACCACTTGAGTCAGCTCCCACCCCTCCTCCGCTCGAACCCACCGCCGTGCAGCGTAAAAGCAGCCCCAGGACCCTACGCAGCCTGCACTATCCCCCTTTGCTTCTCTGAAGGCACTTCACTTCAGCAGTGCCTGGCTCCCTCAGCTGCCAGGACACACCAGGACAGTCCACCTCAGGGCCTTGTACACACTGCACCCTCAGGTGGAAACTCGGGCCCCGCCCCACTCTCTTCAGCCTCTGCTCACATCCCTTTCTTGAGAAGCCTTCCTAACCTCCCTAGGCAAAGCACGCCCACCCTACCTCCCCTTACCCTTACCCTTCATTTTCCCCAAGCACCTATCACCACCGATGTTACCGTATGTGTTTGTTTACGCTAACTGCCCACCACCCGCACTGGAACGTCAGCACAGCGAAGGCAGGACCCTTGGCTGCCTTGGTCACAGTTGGATCCCCAGAGCTTTGTATGGTGCTGGGCACAGAGTGGGTACTTAATAAGTATCTGTGGAATGAACGTGTACAGAGTGAAGCCCTGTGCCCGAAACAGGCTCAAAATAAGCTCAATTCCTTTCCTTGCCACTTACTAAGTCCTTTTTCTCTCGCCCCCTCTCACTGACCTGGTTTTGATGCCAGACAGCACAG